GAGAGAGAGAGAGGGAGAGGGAGAGAAAGGAAAGGGAAGAGAGAGAATCACAGAAAAGAAAGGGAGGAAAGAGACGCCAGGGGAAGGTGCAGAGAAAAAAGAGGAAGAAGGGAGGAGGAAGGGAGAGACAGAGAATAGAGTATAAAGAGGCAGATACAGTGTCGTTGGAGCTGGGAGGTGAGCCTGTGAGAGAAAGACAAAAGGATTGGGAGGAGAAGGGGGAGAGGCTGGAGCAGCGAGTGCCAGGGAGAGAGCTTGACCCTGGGAACTCATTCCAGAGATAGAGACCCAGGCGAAGGAGATGGAGATGTGCTGGTGCAACAGATAGACACCATCTGAGAGCCAGGTGCCTGGCTTCTTTGCCCAAGGCCCCACTCTCAGCTTGTGCAGATGGACAGACACCTCCCACCCTATGTGAAGGCTTGCCCCTCTACCCTTGCTCCACCCCCACCCCTGCCACCTCTCCCTGTCATCCTGTTCCATCCAGTCACTCCCTGTCTTAACTGGGCACCTCCCAGTCTCAGTTACAGCCCAGGGCCCCCTCCTCCTGGAGAGGTTGCCTCCCAGCCTCCTTCCTGGGCAAATTCCAGGACCAGCTGTTAAAAAGGAGTCATAGGGCCCACTCCCTTCCCTACAGTTTGGGCCCCCTACCCCAGGGACACAAGAAGGGGCAAAAGGCTTCTCAAACACTAAGTTACAGTGGTGGCCATGAGTCAGCTCCGAGCCCCAGGACCCCTGCTTCTGATGAGGTCAAGGAACACCCCTGGGGTGGGTGGGGGCTGGCTACTCAAGAGGGAACATGAACAAAGGTCCCAATTCCCACATCCATTCCTGCTTGACCCATCCTCCCTAAAGCTCCTGTCCCCTGGGTTGGCAGGCCACCTTTGTTCCAGGGACTAGACTGAGGGGTTCCTGCCAATGCTGGGTTGCCAGCCTGCGGGGGTAGGGGCTGAGTCTAGGTTTGGGTCTGATTTGTTTCTGTCTAGCACAGTAAAATGCACTTACTGGGGACAGAGGGAAAGTCTTGGATGGTGGAGATAGGAGTGTAGAAAGAGAAAGTTCAATAGTGTGAACAGTGCTGGGGAAGCGTAGTGGGGTGCTAAGACGGCTCAGGTGGTGAGGGGGAGGAGCAAAGAAAACGTGGAGCGGGGGAGGTAAAGGGAAGGACACCTGGGACAAGTACCTCATGTCCTTGTCCTATGCAGGCCCCCAGCCTCGGCCAGAAACCTGCATGCAGCTTTCCACCCCTTAGCCCTCCAGCCTCAGTTTCCCTAGCTCAGAAGGCTGGGGCGTCGATAGGCCTCCGGTCCTCGCGCTTCCAAGGGTAACCAGGAGCAGCGGTCCTGGAGCATACGCTCCATGGCTCGGCTCGGCTTCACTTACCAGGGTCTGCTCGTACTGCAGCGCCCGCGGCTCCATCCCTTCCTCTGCCGCGGCGGCCGCGGCGGCCGCCATCTCCGCGCACAGCCCTCGGGCCTCCACTGCGTCTCGGGCTCCGTCCCGGACTCGGCTCCCAGCTCGCAGAGCCCGCACCCGTGCCCGTCCGGTACCCGCAGCCCGGGCGGCCAAGTGCAGAGAGCCTCCCGCTCCCGTCCCCTCCTCGGCGGGCGGGCTGAGGGCGGTGCCCTCCGTGGTGCCCCGCCCGCCAGCCCATCCACAGGGACCGGCCCAGCCTGGTGGGGGTCTGAGTTGGGGCGGCCTCCCAGGCTCGGGAGAGACGGTAGGGGGCGCTAGGAATGCTGGAGCCCGTGCCCGCTCTTCGCGGAGGCCTGAGGCTAAGACCAGGCGGCTCCGCTGGCACGTGCAGGGGCCGGTCCGTGTCTGCGGCCCGGGAGACTCTGGGGCTCGGTAGGGCCTGGGGCCGAGGACTGCAGAGGCGTCTAAATCAGACTCTTTGGGCCCAATCTTGCTCTCTAGCGTGGCGCCCTCTCTTGCTTCTCCGGAGGGGCCAGCGGCTCTGATGCGCCGTTGCTCCGCCCGGGGTGAGAAGCAAAGCTGGGGGAACTCGGAGGGGAACTCTAGGCCCAGGAGGTGGGGTGGTGGTGGTGGTAGTGGAATGCTCGGAGCTGAGATCCTCGGTCTCTCTCATCCTCTCCCTTCCTCCTTTCCCCCCCCGCCCCCCTGCGGCTCCCCCAGGGAGGTACACCTGGAACAACTTGGCCTGCAGGGGAGTGCGGGGCGAGGGGGCCGGTGATTGGAGGTAGGGAGGGAAAGAGTGAGAGGCCTGAGGAAAGGGAGGTCTGGGAGCCGGAGAGGCCGCTCCTGGGAGGCGGGTGTGAGGGGACAGAGGTCGCTTCTCCCTGGCAGGGCCCAAGGAGAAACCCGAGTAGCTGCTGACGTCTCGCCGCCAGAGGGGAACGGCCTGTTGGCGCTCTGCGTACTCTATCAGGGTCCAGAGAAGGATAGAACAGAGGGTGGGGTCAGCACAGGCTGGATGGGCTGTGTGTGTGTCCGAGATAGTGTCTGGGAGAGCACAGTGCCCAGGAAACAGGCAGTGTGGGAGGAGGCAGTACCAGGATGAAGGGGCATGTGGGAGGCAGAAGTGGCGCCCAGGAGGAGGGGGTGGTGCCCAGTAAGGTGGCAGTGTGAGAGGAGCCAGCAACCGAGGAAGGGACTATGTAAAGGAAGAGTATCTGTGGGAGAGACAGTGCCAGGAGGAAGGGGCACATAGATCAGTGTCCAGAGGGAAAGGCAGTGGTGGGTGAACGGGCAGTACCAAGCTGAGGGTGCAGTGCTCAGGAGAGCAGTGTGATGGGGTCAATACCAGGCGGCCGAAGGGGCGGTGTAGGGGAAGAGAGCAGTGGAGAGGAGGATGCAGTTCCAGGGGAGGGGACAGTGCAGGCTTTCCTCTTTCCCTTAGTGACATCATGGCAAATTCCCAAACTTGAAAGGACTCAGCTCAGGTGACATCCATCTGGGCAGAGCCGGCCTGGGCCGGCCTGGGGGGCCTCAGTGCCAGCTGGAGGGGCTGGGTACTGTGCCCGGCTCGTCCAACGCTCTGGGGGCGGGGTTCTGCTCCGCCCTCCCTCGGCGCGGACTGTGCCCTCGGCGGGCACGCGGACCGGTAGGGTAGGGTAGGGCTGGGGCCGGGCTTCTCTGGGCCAAGGATCAAGGTCCCTGGCTGGCGTAGGCCCCCAGGCATTCCAGTCTTCCCTACGGGGACTCTAAAGAGGGCGTAGTAGAGCTTCAGCAGAGTGAGAAACCGCGCCACCTCAGTCAGAGGTGGGACCTATCGTGACCCCGCCCTAGGGCGGAGTTATCTGGACCTGAGACCCGCCCTCAACACTGAGGTCTCTCGGTAGCAATAATTCGGGGCGGAAGTTAGGAAGCCCCGAGAGCTAGGTGACGGAAGTGGCCGCCTTACTGCTTGTCGGCGCGCATGCGTTATTGTGTTCCACGGCTGCTGCTCTTCAGGCGCTCCGTTTTCTCCTCTCCTTTTCTCCACGCGAGGGGGTGCGCGTACTCTTAGCTGTGGCCGCGCGCTCAGCCCCTGTGCTACTGTCGTGGCCCTTTCACCATGGCGGGCATCCTTTTTGAAGATATTTTTGATGTAAAAGACATTGACCCGGAAGGCAAGAAGTTTGACCGAGGTAAGTAAGGTATGTAGGGGCGGTTTGGGGTAAGGGGTTAACCTCGTCCTTGCGGACACGTCCCTGTGCCTTTGGTCCACCCAACTCACGTGGTCTGCCCCTACCGGCAGGTCCTGATGTCCGAACTCTCTTAGAAAATGTTTTATAGATGAGAAAACCGAGACTCCGAGCTCTCCCTGGGTTCACACATGTTGTGCCCTCTTCCTGGGTGGCCTTTTCTCGAGGTGCTGGTAAACTCCTGGGTATCTTTCTAATCTCTACCCACTCTGTGCTAGTCACTGTACGGTGCACCTTACACACGCTTTGTCTTAACTTCTTTCAAGAGTCTCCATTAGGTAGGTGGTGTCTTACCCTTTTTTTGCTCCAAGAGCTGCACAGAGAGTAATCCGACTCCAGAACCTAAATTCTTGTATTGCCCTTAGAGTGTTTAGTTCTTTGTGCATTCCTCTCTGGTTTAGAGTTGACTGCTTCGAATGATAAAGAGTAGCTCTTGATGCTGTCATTGATCACTAATTGTTTCTCTCTAGTTTTTCTTCCTTTGCCTGGAGACTGAGATGTTCTTCAAAACAACACCAGTTCTTATACTTCCTGATAATCCCCTCAGCACTGCACCTGGCACAGAAAGACAAAACCTTTGGATGAATGAATAACTTGCCCAAAGTCAGGTTGTTTTTAATCACCTAGGCAGGCCTAGAATCTGGATATTATTTGTTGCCAGCGGACCTTTGATTCTTTTCTGGGGATTCTGCCCACTGGCCATTGTTTTCTCTCCTCTCCTTCTTGCATATCTGGTTCTGGTTGAGCCTGAACTTCTGTGAGAGCAGATGAGAGGCCAGTGGAGGCACACTGGGTTAGATTGAGTGTTCTATTGCATAATGGTCCCCCAAAGTGGGGTCTGCAGAGTTGGCATGGGCCAGGCAATTACCTCTACCACTCTTTCTCTACTTCCCTGTAGTGTCTCGACTGCATTGTGAGAGTGAGTCTTTCAAGATGGACCTTATCTTAGATGTAAACATTCAGATCTACCCTGTAGACTTGGGTAAGTATTGAACATAGACAATAGCAGGTGACTTTTTGTCATTTCAGCTGTTCTTCACCCTAAGATATTACTGTTATTTTCAGGTGACAAGTTCCGGTTGGTTATAGCCAGTACCTTGTATGAAGATGGTACCCTGGATGATGGTGAATACAACCCCACAGATGACAGACCTTCCAGGTGAGGAAGTGGAGAAGGGAGTACTTGAAATATGCCTGAGGACTAAGTAGATAAGTGGTATCGAAAGATCCTTATTTAATTTGTGAAATAAGCAATTATCAGCAGAATCTGAGGAATCTTGAGGAAATTGCTGCTCTTAAGAATTCAGACACCCAAGTATTCATCCAGAGCAGTGGTTGCATGCTTGTGAGTTGTAGCTTTTTTTTTTTTTTTTAGCTGAGCCATCCTGCTACCTGTTGGCAGCTCAGCGGCTGCTCAGCCCGGGCTGGACTCGAACTGCTGTTGCTCAGAGCTCAAACTCTTGAGCGAGCTCTTAACCAACTGAGCCACTCGGCCGGCCCCGTAAGTTGTAGCTTTTTGATGGCGGAAAATAACCACTGAGTGACTTAGGCTGTGTGGGCCTTGCATCTTGGGAGTGAGTTTGGTATGATGGGAAGTTAGAGCCTCACTGAGTTCAAACCTGAGCCCTACCATTTATTTGTTGAATAATCTTAACCTCTTTCAGCCTCAGTTTCCTCATCGGTAAAAACTGGATGGCCATACGTAGGTCACAGGGTTGCTGTGAGGACTAAATGATATTGTCTTTGGAAAGTGCCTGTTATAATGCTGGCACTTAGTTACCAGTTACCACTTTTAAAGGACTTATTATTGTTAAATGCTTTTGAGAATAACTACCACTGTTGTTCCACAGGGCTGACCAATTTGAGTATGTAATGTATGGGAAAGTGTACAGGATTGAGGGAGATGAGACTTCTACTGAAGCAGCAACACGTCTGTAAGTTCCTTGATCTTGTGAGAACCCTTTCCCCTGCCTTATTCTGAGAATTTGGGCCATGCTTATGCTTCCTGTGTTGGGTCCCTTGCCCCAAGCACCTCAGACCTAGGTGCGACCCAGAAAGAAACTTCTGGGAACAGTTTTCAATCTGAAATGTAGGCTGCTGTCTATGCCCTTTGTCAGGGCCTTAGGGCCTGGGGAAAATGAGAAACTGATAATCTTGCTGTATGTAGTGCAAAGGAAGGTTGCTTCCTCAGGAAATAAATGCAGCATTAAGTAATTAAACTGCTAGGCATGTGTGTGTGTGTGTGTGTGTGTATTGCTACTCTGCAACCCAACCCCTAGTTCTTTGGTTTCCCTGCCCAGCTATTTTTTCTTTTTAAAAAATCTTATTAAAACAATATGTACCCTTTGTAAGCAATTTGAAAAGCAGAGAAGTAATGCAAAGAAGGAAAAAAAGTGACCTGTAATTGCATACCTAGAGGGAAACTTTTACATAAAATTTTTGACGATTTTCGGGTTTTATTCCTGTGTGCTTTTTTGCTTTTAGGTCATGTTGTTTATACATGTTTTCTTCTCTTTTTGCTTAATGTTATGTAAAACATGTTTTGCCCATGTCACTTTAAAGCTTTTCCTAAACATCTTAATAGCTGTATAACATTCCAGGAAGTGGATATATCTTAATTGATTTAACCATTTTCCTTATTCTGGGCATGTAGTATTTTCTACCATTGCTAATATAAAGAACACTGCCTTACACATATCTGTGCATTCATCTTTGTCTGAATTTTGGTTCCTGATGACAAAACATTAGAAAGGTACTTCTTTTCTTAGGCTGGTCTGCAGAGCCACTGAGTAGCAGCTGCTCCAGAGCTCAGACTTATGAAACTGGACCTTCTGTTTCAGCTCTGCCTACGTGTCCTATGGGGGCCTGCTCATGAGGCTGCAGGGTGATGCCAACAACCTGCATGGATTTGAAGTGGATTCCAGAGTTTATCTGCTGATGAAGAAACTGGCCTTCTGAACCACCTGGGGAGCCAACCTTGCTGCCTAGTCACTCCAGTCATGGATATTTGTTTAAGCCTGAGCAGCAGCGGCCGTTGTTCACCTGTTCAGGAGGGGCACTGTGGATGCATCGTTAGGTGGTCTGGACTCAATGGGAAACTGACTTGCCTGTGAAAGACCTGGTGGGAGAGCTTAAAATGAATCAGAAGTTGTTTTGTATATATGATTTTTTAAAATTAAACTTTACTTTTTCAGACGTTTCGTCCCTTTAAAAAATTTTTTTTTCCATTTACTTTAAAACCATTTTTTCCAATTTGCCTATGGTATATTCTGTTTCTGGCCCACAACCATATGATCACATGTCAAGGTAGGATCTATCCCCGCCTTTTGGTATCTAGATTCTGGGCTGATTATCCCCAACCTTTATCCTCCAATGTGATTTTCTGTCTGGGAGAGAGTGTCGTGCTTTTGACTCCTGAGCGCACCCCAGGTCCGGAAGATACCACCCTTTTGGCTAGAAGTTTGAATTGGCAAGGAGCCCTGTTTGTGCCCTTCTAACACTTGCCGTCTCTTAGGAAGTCAGGTCACGTTGACTTGAATGAGTCACTTGCATAGCCTGGAAATGTTCATCATTTTAATGGAAGCTTTGGGTAGAGGCTTTCAGACACATGCATGGGACAGGACTATGAAGAGAATAGGAAGAGCGGATTTGGTGGTTATGGGAGCAGGTGGAGAAGCTAGTTGTGTGCTCTACATGCTAGTGGTTTCCTCGAGGGAGGGTAAGTGCTTTCTTAACAGTGACACTGAACAGGGAGCTGCTGCACAGACCAGTGAAGTGGACAGGGCAGCAATACCAATGAGGTTGGCAGTCCAGTGCCAGTGCCTAGGACAATGCAGGATCCTGACTGCACTCACTAACTGGGGGAAGTGGGGGAAGAGCACAGTTGAGGAAATGGTGATGCTTACAAGGACTCCAGCATAGCAGCTGGCTCTTCAGCCTGGTATTCGAAGTCTCTTAGAAAGTATATGGGGGTCTCTGATTTCCCTGGGAAATTCAGGTTAAAGATCCTGAAAAATTGTGAGTGTGCATTAAGCAGTTGTCTCTTAATTTCCCATTTTACCAGGGGAGCTGGTCCCTTCCCTGCTGGGATGCCTGGGGTATCTCCTTCCCCATCATTTTCAGGTCTTTACCTGAGGTGTTAGAAATAGTATTTAGGGAAATGGGTTGAAATATGGTCCCTGCAGGGGGGAGGAAAAGGTGTTTTGCTTTAGTATGGGGGAGGGAGGGTGGGTAGAGAAGTTAAGAGAAGCAGTGGGTGTTGGGATGAATTTTTATGGAAATCTAGAGCCTTTCCATGGAGTCAAATTTGGGGGGCAGGGGTTGGAATAGGATGAACTTAGGTTAGAGTGGGTATGTAGAAGAATCTACCAGTAATGGTTTGTTGGGTAGCATAGCAAACTCCTAACTGCTCTGGGGTAGCAGAAGAAAGAGAACTGGTGTACAGTTGAGTAGAGGTAGGAATGTTCTGGTTGTTACAGTTTTTTTGTTGTTGGTTTTTTGTTTTTTTGGGTTTGTTTTTGGTGTGTGTAAAGTGAAGAAGAGACAGAAAGATTTGGGAATGGGTTAGATTCTCAATAGGGGCAGATTAGTTTACACTGGAGAAGCCCATGAGTTATTTGCATTTGCCCTGGATGCCTGGAACTTTCTGGCTATATACTTCTTGCAGTTTTGCCATCTTTTTTTTTTTTTTTAAGATTTTTATTGGGGAATTGGGGGGATGGGAACAGTGCTGGGGAATTGGGGGAAGGGGAACAGACAAGTTGCTGTCGTTCTTGTTCTTCAGTCTAGTTGTGGAGGACGTTGCCCCACTGGCCCAAGTTGGCACCATCATTGCGCTCTTCCCAGGCGAGGCACATCAGTCACCGGCTTCTGGACGGCCGCTCACTGCGGCTACTGGCCGCTCACGCTGGCTGCTGGCTACATATGGTAGCCCATGGCAACCCACTGCCACAGGGGCTGCAGCCTCTGCCGTCGCCGGCTACTCATGGCTGCCCAGCTCCAGGTTGAGCTGTTGTTCAGCATCTTAGCTGTGGAGGGCAGTGTCACTGGCCCTCATATGTGGGATCTGAACCGGGGCCCTCTGGCGTCCCAAGCCAGCTCTTAACCAACGTGCCACCTCGGCCGGCCCCAGTTTTGCCATCTTGGTCTCTCATCTGACTATACTGAGAACCCCTAATTCTTTGTCTCTGGTCCTTTTGGCATAAAGTGTTTCATTCGATTATTAGATTTAATCTACTTTAGTATTTCATTAAGTTAAAATTTCCATTTACCATTCCCTTTACTAGCATGCTGGAATTTGTAGTGTGGATGAATTGCAGATACTGACACCATCCAAGGTTTAGACAACACTTTTGAGCTTTGTGCATTTGTTGATTCTTTCTCCATGGCAACTGTTCTGTCCATGAATGGGAGAGAAGGACACCTGGAGATGTCTAAATTGGTCACCCTCCCAAGAGCTTTGGTTTTCTACTCAGAACTCTTTAACTTGATGTATTTACTCTCTATGGACTTGGAAATCTTTCCCAATAAATAGAATCATTGAATGATATATTAGACAGTGTATGGACTGTGGAGAGTATGGACTCCAGACTAAGCCAGCCTGGGGATCACAGGCTGTGAAACCATTGGGAACATGCCTGGCTTCTCTGAGCCTCAGTTTCCTCATCTGTAAAAATAGAGATGATAATACCAATCTTAAAGAGTCGTGTAAGCCTTTAAAAAAGGTAGAATACATAAAGTTCCTGGCACATTCTGACTTTCATTCTGTTTTAGAATGCCTTTAGTGATCCTGCAGTATTTGTGGCAATGTTTAGAACTCCGGGTTCCTGGTTCCTCCTCTACCTACAAGGTGGCAGTTCCTCTCCTTTGGGGAGTTGATGAGGAGGGAGGGGGAAAAAGCTTCCATTGGTTTTCCCTACAAGAGCTTCTGGAGGTAGCATTGACTTTTGCGGTGGAGTTTTTGTGTGGGCAATATAAACTTCTTCCAAGTATCAAGTCTGCTTTATTGGCAAAGCCCCGTAAGTCTGGCTTCTTTTCTGGAGATACCCTAACAGTTTATGGTGGTAACACAAAGCCACTTTTTAGATACTACTCACTTCTGGGAATTGGGAAATGAGCCTTCAACTTGTACATGACTTGACTTATCTCTCCTGCTGTGTGAGCCCCAGGAGACCAACTCAAGCCACTTCCTGCACTTCCCCCTGACCTCCACAGGAGGGAGGCAGGAACCCATGCTTGGCGAAGCTTCCTGCTGAGCTGCTGAAGCTGTCGCTGTTTGCTCAGCTGTCACATCCAGGTCTTGTCTTGACTGAACTGTCTGCACAGACTTACTTGAGGTGTGAGGCTCTCCTAGGCTTCCTGTTAGCTTTTCTTTTTTTTCTTTTTTTAGGGAGGGACAGATCTATTGTCCCTCTGCCCCACTCCCCCCCCCCCAGAAGAACTTCTTTCTTTTCCTTTTCAGTTAGCTTTTGGGTGCTCTCATTTATTTATTCTTTATTTATACAGGCTCAGTTTTGTCTATTATGTAGGGACAGCCTTTCTGGGAGACAACTTCTCATTCATTTCTCAAGAGTAAGGATCTCCTAAGAAAAGGAGATAAAAGTCCCATTGAGAAGATGGTAAAAAGGGGTAAAGAGACTAACCTTATTTCTGAGTAGAAAACCAAAGCTTGTTTTTCTCTTGTTTTCTGACCTAAGATTAGTTTCTACCTTTGTTCAGAGGCCAGGCCAGTCCAGGCCTTTGAGAAATTATCGTATGCAAAAGAACACAGAGCAAATTCGTAAGTTGTAGGTTTATGCAGAAAAATAGACCAAAGATAACTAGCTGCTCTGGTGAATATTATTGATAGCTTAAAAAAATAGCTTCTGAGTTTTATACAGTGAAAAACGATCCCTTTTTCTGTCCCATGTATCCGCCTTTACTAGGGCTTTGGGTTTCAGGTGAAAGCAGGAAATCTGGTGTGGCAGCAGTTGTCTTCCAGGGCCTCTCCTTCAGGTAAGGGAATTACACATGGGAGACAGTGCTGATGTTGGCAGTGCCTGAGTACCGTACTACTCCTGAGACAGATTATGGAAGTGAGGGTGGGCTGCAGTTAGAAGAGGGCTGGTAGGATTGGGCATGATAGCAGAAGGGTCAGGAAGTGGGAGTTGGAGCTGGACCATGGGGGTGGGCAAGGTGGGTGAAGGAGAGAAGAGTGTGTATTGTCCAGTGGGAGGATGGCTTAGGGAAGGAGAGAATCCAGACTGGAGACTGAGTGGCAGAGAGCCCGTGTCCGAAGTTCCTGGTGGAATATTCAGGGCTCCCAGCGCCCTGGGTGAGGGTCCAGGGAAGAGTCCATGAGTTCCATTTAAGGGTGTGTGTGTCCTGTTCAGATGTCCAGGTACTTGGTCTAGGGACCTGGAAGTTTGGTTCAGCAGACCAGGAATCTTGGCTCTGAGTCCCTGTAGCCTCTTCAGAAGTCCAGAGCCAGTAGTTCTGGCTGAGACACTGGAGTTTGTCTCCAACAATCCAGAAGTCCTGTTTGGGAACTTGTTCAGTGTGAAGAATAGAGAGGTACTGCTTGGGAGAGCTGTGGTAGGGAGGGCCCGCTTGGCACAGAGGGTGGGCCCGACTACGTGAAGCAGGAAACGCACCTTTCCTCGGAGCAGTTGTTGGAAGCTCAGGAAAATGGCATCGGGATCTTTGTGAGCTGTGGTCCTGCCCTGTGGAGGAAGCTGAGGGCAGAGGATGGGCCTGAGGCCAGAGACCTTGGCCAGATATGCCTCCCTTGTCTATGTGGGAAGGTAGGGTACCGGCAGCTGGGCTTTATGGATGGGAGGAAGCATTCATTCCTTGACACGTCATCCCCTGTTCCTCAAGATTCCTAGAATTCCTCTTTTTTCCCTCAGGTCTTCTAAGGAGACTCAGTCAAAAAGGAAGGACAATTTCTATAGTTCCCTTGACTTGGGACTTACCTGGGTTCCAAGGAGGCCCTGCAGGGCCCCAAGGAGGAGGCGGACCTGTCCAGAAAGCTGTCCCAGTAGGGATGAGAGGCAAGTGGGCCCCAGTTGTCCCCGTGCTGCCATCACTCCCTCCAGCAGAAGGGTTGTCGCTCCCAGAACATCCTGTGCCTTGGTCTGCTCCTGAGAAAGGGATGGAAGAGAGAAGCGGGTTGCTTCAAAGGGCATGCTCATAGCGGGTGGGGAGCCTGTAGGGGTAGCCAGCAGAATGAATCATAAGAGCTGAGAATTGGACAGGACCACGGTCCCACCCAGCACAGGAATTCCTTCAGTCTCCCGACAATTGGTCATCAGCCTCTGCTTGAATAACTCTAGTGTCCGGTAACCCAGCCTGGTCTGACATTTAATTTCAGTCAGAAAAGCTGGGGTTTTTTTCCTTACATTATGCTGAAATCTACCCTTTTATAGCTTTACCTCTTGGTCCTAGTGCTGCAAATCTCTTTCGGCTACAAAATCTGAGGATTGTATGATTTATTTTTAACTTAATGTAGAGATGAAACCATTATAAGAGTATAAAGATGAAGGGAAGGAGCTTATTGATACATGGCAGAGCTGGAGCTACGAGGGCTCCTTAGGAACTGTCCTTCCCTGGCCCAGTCCCCCTAGACAATCTGAGGGAAGAGAGGGATTCTAGGGATCTTGAGAGTAGAAGAGCTGACCTTCTAAAGGGTGCTCCCTCACAGTAGGTTTTCCGAGTCTCAGACTAAAGCACTTCATGCTATGCCACAAGATGGCCACTTCCTCCAAGCTAATCAGAGAGACTGTTGGGTTTTTTTAAAACCATTTTTCACATAACATGTTTTCTAACCTCTTACTGTGCAGGTTGTTGCATCCTGGACACATGCTAGTTTAATACTGGGTTGTTGGAAAAATCATGATGTATTTTTCTATGTTTTTCGTTGCAAAAATGCATCATGACTTTTCCGACAACCCAATAGATCCCTCTGAATACATTAGCATGTGTCTAGAGGAGGATGTCAGTCGAGTATTTTTGAGTGCAGTCCACCCAGAATACAGTTTTATAGGGATATTTCCACAATGTGGATGCTAAACATCTAAAGTTGCCTAGAATCACTAGTTTTTACATAGCTGCTTCAAAAATGTTACATGCTAAGTTTAGGGTCAAGTCAACCCTCCCATATTGTTTTCATAGTAAATTCTAGGGCTAGAAGTTTTTTATGAGGAAAGCAGGGGCATTGTGGCCTGAAAGCTGGAGTAGGAGTTTACTCAATTACTTTACACGTGTAGAATTGTTTATATATCTCTTAAATTTCACTATGTTTTGAACCTAGCCTTTCAGTGATTTGAATCTTGACTCTGTCTTTTGGGGTGTTTTTTTTTTTTTTGCTGTGTTTCCCAGCTTTGTGTCATCTGTGGATGACAGATCAGTCTTACTTCTTCATACCAACTTAAGAAGGTTGAACAGAAATAAGTCAAAGGCATGGCCCAGGCGAGACCTCAATCTAGCTTTACATGGTGTTCAGCTTTGAATCTATTTAATGTACTGGGACTGCAAGCGATCAACTTGTCCAGAAGATATCATCATAGTAGAATGTAGATTGGGTTAGGGTAGTCAAGCTAAAGGTGAGATATTTTCAGGGAGCTCAGGAATTTTGAAGAATCCATGGGAAGCAGTACAAAACTGATGAAGACATGACGTAGAGAAACCAAGGGAAGGGATGGCTTTCTTACCGTCTGGGTTTTCCATTCTCCCAAGCTAAAGTCCACAGCTGGCAGCAGGACAGGTGTGGACAAAGGGTTAACGTCTGGGCACTGGCTCTGTTGAAAAAGATTATTGGGGGAGGGTAGAGAAGGGAACTGAAATGGGGGCATGGTGGCCCAATGATCAGGATATGAGTAATATATCCAGATTAGAGCTTTTAAAGGGTTTGACTGTAAATCATAATCTTTGGCAAAGAGAGGTGATCAGGAAATGGTGGCCTTACCAAAGACAATATTGGAAAAATAGGGATTGTATCAGGGAGCAAGAGGAAGTGATGGAAGTGAAGGTATCTTACCAGTTAAATGGATAGAGGGGAGAATGTTTGGGGAATCTCACCAGTCTGCTTTGAAGGAATTGGGAGTCACGAAGCAGTTTATTTAGGAGTCGGGGGTCACAGGCAGGAGGAGCCAGGCTGGACCGAGTTAGTCTTGCACTTAGGAGAAGCATGACCACGAGGAGCAATTCTTAGATGAGGAGAGGTGAGGTTGAAAGGGGTGGGTAAGGAAGAAAACATTGTCGGGCGGTGGTCCAGGCATTCCCAGTTAGGACCCAGACCTGAAATCCTGGGAATCTGCCACTCAGATGCCTTATTCCTGGGAAACTGGGTCCCCCCAGCCCTCCCCCACTGCAGCACATCTCCTTTCTGTTTCCCCCTCTACCACATTCTGATTTGGCCCTTAGCCTCTCAAGTGTGCTCTTACCAGTCAGCTCCATTCTGGCCAGGCTGTCTGGTTGAAGTGGCACCCTGTATGGGGCCTCTCCCCTGAATCCTTCCTGGGGCCATGGAGGCGGCTTGGGCTCTTGCACTTCTGGGAAGAGTGGGGTGGGGCACGGCGCAGGTAGGCCAAGGGAGAGGGTCTGGAATCTATCCTGCAAGTGACAGGAATAATGAACGCTTAATCAAATTTCAAGGAAGAGACTGCCTGACTGGGGTAACAGATGCTGGGAGGGCTTGTGATGCTCACCAGCCTAGAACTGCTAAAGCTCTGACTGCTCCCATGCTTTCTTGTGACGTAGCATGTAGTGTCTCCTCTTTATCAAGAGTTCCTCAGTGAATCTGATATGGGTTTGGTGCCCCTGCCCCCTGCCGAAAGCAGCAGGACAGGATATGTACACACACACATTTTAATTGGCCTCAAATTCTGAGCAACCTTGGTTGTTTGGTTGGAGGAAATCTGGGATGGGGATAGAGAATGGAAGCACTGTGGCACGAGCCTGAGAAGAGGGGAAAGTGAGTATGGGGCCGAGATGAGGAACTAGGAAACATGCACTGTACTGAGAAGTAGCTAGCTTGGAAATGGGGTTGAGAAGTAAAATTAGGCAAAAATTTTTAAAAACTGGGTTACTAGAGGTTGGTGATTAAAAGATTAAGAGAAGGTGGTGTGGGAGGAGTTAACCTCTCATTCTTCCCAATTTACCCCTTACACACAAAGCCTCTTTTTCTTTGCATTCCAAATTCTGAAATACTGGGTTTTCCAAGGTGAAGAGATACACTAACAGTCTTGGGAACTTCCTTCCTGAGGCAAGTAGTCCAGGGTTGGGCACCCGCTGAGTGAGGTGATGCCCGCCTTCCATGGCATACTTTGCTTTAGACACCCACCATATCTGTCTGGTAGCCCACACCTTCCTCCCTGCCCCCTCTTCAGACCCCTTCCTGTTCCTTCACAGGACCCCCCACATGGCTTCCTCCTTCTTTCACAAGTTGTGCAAAGAGGCCTGCACCTGATTCAATATTGGGATTTCCTGTAGGTCTGTCAACATGCATGAGCCCTCCTCCCATCACCCTCTCCTTGTGCCCTGGTCTGCCTGGCCCAGCTTCCACAGCCCCTGGATTCAGAACCTTAAACTAACGAGGAATGACTGGGGAAGAATGGCGAGTGAGGCTATGTCCATCTTGGTGCCCTGTTCCCTGAGCCCTAATGTACCTCCTTTCTCATTTTCTCCCTGAGACCATGTCCCTTTTCTTTAGGGCCAGCTAGGACTCTGCTGTATTCCACCAAGTCTGTGATCAGTCCCTTAGAATCCAGCACCCCACCCCCTACCCCTGCACTGTCCTGCTCCTCCCATTCTGGGAAGGCCATACTCTTCCTGACAAAGGTCAGTGCCTGTAGGTTCCAGTTTGCCTGCCCCTCCCCCAGCTGGGAGCCCAATTCCTCTTTCCTGGTCTTGCTACCCTCACCTAACTCCAAACCCTGCTTACCACTCACTGGGTGCAGAAGGGCTCCAGGACCCAGGTGCAGAGCAGGCAGCACTCTGGGGAGCAGATGGGTAGGAAGGCCTGTGGCGCTGGAGCATAGCCCCTTCACGGCAGTGGGGTCACACGCCTGCCCAGGCCACTTCTGCCCAATCAGAGAGCAGGGAGCCACCAGACACTGGCGAGGGCCCCCGGAAGTGACGCCTTCTCCTCCCACCCTCACTGGACCTGGAGCCCCTGCTGGACCATGGTCCACTAGTGGAGCCCAGCTCCTCCACCCACACACATCATGGGGAGGATTTGAATAGGGAAATCTATCTTTTCCTAGGAGATAGGAAACCTGGGACCTGACTGGAGAGGAGATGGGAGGGGAACAGGTTTTTTCTAGGAGGAATCTAGCAGGACATTTTTGTTTTCAGTTCTTGGCTGGCCAAATTTCTTTTCCCTGGACACCACAACTGCTGCCAAAATCTAGTAGGGCTCTTGCTTTTCCTGCTTTTCTCTCCTATAACTTCTAGGGGATCATGTCTGATACCCCCTGTATGAGTGGGAATGGGGGTATTGTCAGTATTAGAGAATGACCCTGTCAGGGGTCAGTGTTATGGGGAAAGGGTTTGGACAGCTTGAGAGGACTGTGAGGTGACGGGGGTGTGTGCTGGGCTCAGGTGCTCCTCTGTTAGGGTCCATTGGCTCAGACAGCTAGTCTCTGCCCTGGGCCCTCCTTTACTTGCCCCTTCTTTCCCCCTCTTCCATTTCCTACCATTCCATATGTGACAAGAGGAATAACCAGGCCCATGTGTCCCTGTCTTAGGAAAGACAGCTGCTGAACCTCCCCCGCAAATACCTCCTGCTGGCCCCCCTCTTCCTTTGGTCCTGGCTCTAGTCCCTTTGCTTTCCCCTCAATCCCAGTCTCCCCACAGCCTCTGTCCTCAGAGGCCTGGAGGCCTGACCTTATTCCCATCCCTCCCCTCCCCCCCAATTCTTCCTCAGGCTCTCCCCTGCTCCTCCTCCCCAGGATGGGGCTGTCTGCTAAGGAGTATGGCCTAGATCCCGGAATTCTCCAGTTCAGCCAGATGAGATGCTTCCCAAGATTAGGAAGGAGGGTGCTGGGATGGTTGGGAGGATGGTGGGTGTGTGGGGGTGGGAGGGGACAGGGAGGCAGTCATGACCAGGAAACCAAGACTGAGGAGGGTGGGGTGGAGAGAATGAGGGTCCTCGTGGTGAAGGGAGAAGGTGAGAAAGCATGTCAGGTTGGGGACGATGATGGTTGGACGGGCCTGAGGACAGGTTACAGTAGGGAGGGACACGCTGTCACTAGACAGAAAGGAGACAGTTTCTGGCTAAGTTCCTGTCCTGGGGAACAGTAGAAAGAGGAGAGAACTCAGAGAAGAGGTAGGGACACAGGCTAGGCAGTGAGTGTGGGGAGTGTGGGGTAGTGGGTGCTGTGGGCCCAGAGTCAGGGGGAGATCAGTTGAGGGGTCTTTCCTGTACGCTGTCATCTTTAAAGACAAGGCTTCATCCTTCTGGCAGGAACGGAATCCTAGCCCAGTAGCGGGCCCAGGCCTCAGGCCCAGCCTTTGCCCTTTCCCGGCCAAGGGATCTGGTCCTGGACCGGACACGCACCTCCTGGTCCAGTCACCCTGTGGCGGCCGGCAGGGGGGTGCGGGGGGGGGTGCTTCAGACCTGCCTCTCCTCCCCTCTTCGCGCCCCCTGGTCCCTCCCCTCCCCCTCCCCC